GTGGCGGCGGCGGCCGTGGCGGTGGGTTGGGCTTGCGGCGGCGGCGGTGCCGATAGATCTGAAGGAGCCACAGGTTGTCTCTAGGGTTTTACCCCTTGTAGAATAAACAAAATAAGGGTTTAAGGATTTTTTTGTTTGTTTGTTTTGGTGTGAGGTCTGAGGGGTATTTCCGTCTTTTCATTGTGAAAGTTCCTAATTTGGTGAGGGTATGAAGGATTAAGATGTATGCTTCAATATTTTGTATCATGACGTAGAATTAGTGTTTAGAAACATTACTAAAACCGACACTTTTAACTTGTATGAACGGGAGAAAATCAAAATCACAAATATGTTGGATGCATGTCTTGGTAGAATAAGTTTAACATCTGATTTGTGGATTTCATTAACTATTGACAGATATTTGTATTTGACTGTCCCTTGTCTTAATAAGAATTGGAAGTTGCATAAAAGAATATTGAATTTCCATCTCCACATACTAGTGTAGCACTATTTGAGAAAATCGTTTCTTTATTAAGGGGTTGTTCTTTTGGAGTGTAATTTGAGTGTAGTTTTTTAGTTGAATTTGAGTTATAACTTGAGTTGAAGTTGTAACTTGAATAAAGTTGAGTAAAGTTGAATACAGTTGAAACTTAAAAGAACGTGAATTTGAATAAAGTTTGAACTCGAGTTATCTTTTTTTTAAGTTTTTTGGACAAAATAACATGCCCTAAGTGATTTGGATTTTAGAAAAAAAATTTCGGTATGTTGCTTTTAATAATGTCTATACCTCATTCCTATTATTTCATCTACATTTCCTTCAACTTTAGTGTTGATCTGCTGAGTGATTTTTTCAAACTGATTTCATTATAGTTCTTTTCTTTTGATCAAGAAAATATGAAGATTATTAGCAACGACACTCATTCGATGTGATCGCCTTTTATGGACGTTGAAGTATTGCAATAGACAACAACAAATAAACATACAACAAAAGCTAATGAGAATTTTGATGCTTTTATAGACGAGGTTCTCTGTGGTCCAAAGAGACTGCTAGAAATTGCCAATTTGTGAAGAAATATGCCCCGAGTATAATGACGAATTTGTGATTGATATCTCACTCCAAGATTGTCAAAGAGAAAGACAAAGAGAAGGTTGGGAAACCATATAAATTCACAAGACATTATGTTATAGCGTGACATGTCATACTGCATACTCATTAATAAGTCCAATAAAACTTATAAGAACGAAATTGAGTGTCATTCTAGCTTCCGCAAGAAAGGTAAGCAAGTTCTTTGCAAGGGAGATATTCAGCTTTAGTACAAATTCGGAATCCTCCATGAGGGAGGCATTCTGATTAGTATGATCATAGTATTGTTGGGGACCTTCGCGAATCCTGACTTCCTAATGATCGCGCACAACCAGTATGAACACTCAGGCCCATCCGTTTAGTAAGATAATAAGAGTTTAATAAAACATGTTCATAATTAAGCATAGCTGGAATATGCATATTTTATTATATGTATTCTCAATAATTTTACGAGATATAGTTCCTACTTGTTGAGTGAAAGCTCATTAAGATATCTTCATGCTGTAGGTAAGAAACATATCAGTAACTCTTAACGGGTAATGGTGAGCGGCAGATGAATATTGGAGATGAATATTTATACCGCTCACGAATAAATCTTCCGTAGTAAAATTAAATAAAATTATGTAATTACGGTTCATGAGATTCAAGTATATTTGTATGTATGTTATTGAAGATCGAGATTGTATTATACAGCCTTAGTTTAGAAAGGTTTTGAAAAGTATTTGAAATGCGATTTTATAACAATTTCTTATTTAAAATCGTCTCAGAAGATTTTAATTTAAGTTAAGAAATGTTTTATGCATTGCTATTAATATGTTTTATGAAATTATTATTTTGTTTAAAAAAAATTTCCGCATATATGAGTATTTTAAATTAAGCTTAAGATTATGTAGTTAAGTAATGGCCATGTAAAGAGGGTCGTTATAGAAGAACAATAGTTTGGGGTCATTGGTATTGCAACGAAGTCGCAATTCTGTTGCCAGAGAGATCATCACACCTAGTGGAGGGGTTCGTTGGGGGATGCTAGCCCGGATCTTGCGATTGGGTGGCATCCCATCGACGTAAACGGTTGCGACTAATCACAATTTGATTGTGATTGGTCGAGATGGAGGTCGCAAGCCACGGAGGTAGATCTATAGACTTTGAAGTATCGTTGAATCTCTGCAATTTTGTCGCAACATGCCAGTGCCTCCACGAGATGGCTTGCTGGACGGTGGCACGAAGCCCCGAACCCACTGCTCCCCACCACGCAATCTCCTATGCTGCCCTTCCCCAAATAGGAGACATCTCCGGCACGATGGCGCAACACACAAAATCTCCAGGCATTTTTTTCATTGGATATTGCATATATGAGAAATTAAGAGTAAATGGGAGTAATACGTGCATTTTATTCTACAATAATTTTAGTGTATACTTTTAAGCTCCGTTTATTTCACCGATTCGAGTTTTACTACAATAAAAAGCTCTTATAAATAGTTACATCTAACTTTTTTGATACAATAAAAAACTCTCACATAAAATCACATCTCAATTCAAATTAAAAACTCAGAATCAGCAAACTAAACAGGCTCTCAATATAAACCATCTAGTTTTGATGTAACGGCTGACATATAACTCATGTTATTGAAAACGTAAAATGAAGTCTGATACCATAGTCATTCTCATTTCCTTAAAATTACTTGTCACTCTTGATCTTAACCAAATTTCTTGATAATTGATTTTTTTATTTTTATTTTTTGTATGAACATCCTATTTTCATAGTCCTAGCTAAAATCTAAGGACATGTTCTTTTGTCCAAAAAACTCAAAAAAAGACAACTCAAGTTTCAACTTTATTCAAGTTAACGTTCTTTTAAATTTTAATTTTATTCAATTTTACTCAACTTTATTCAAGTTCTAACTTCAACTCAAGTTATAACTCAAATTTAACTCAAAAACTACACTCAAATTATACTCCAAAAGAACAATCCCTTAATAATACGAACAAGCTCTATCCGAACAGGACTCGTACACTATCAATACAAAAACCCAATATAGGTTTGCTATTGTCGCTTAGTCTTAATTTCTGAGTGATTAATTGCAACTAAAGCTATTTTAGTATTTCTCTTTAAAGCCCTATTTTAAACGAATTTCTTGACAATACTATCTTACAAAAATTTAAAATTCAATTTTTTTTACTATAATATTTTTTCCCACATATAAAATTTTAAATTGTGACTTAAATTGTGAAAAAAATGCACCCCGAGCTTCTACCAAAAAATTCAAGGTGTACAAGCCACCATTATCAATAGCCCGAATCAACTATCCCACTACGTTGTTGAGTTCAATAATCAACTCTCCTTTTATGGTGTCTTTACAGCACCAATCAGTCCATAAATTTATTGTAACAGTAGCACACATTTTCGTTTTTTTTTTTTTTTTTAAATTTACAAAATTTATCGTAATTTACATAACTCAAATGTTTGAAGTTTACAAATTCTAACATAAAATGTACAAATTATCGTATTCTTAAATTGAACTAATTCGATTGAACATCAAATTGATTCAAATCATTTCACTAATATGGCATTTTGGTATTTTCAGTATAAAATAGATCTCCGCTTCATTGAAAAATTTGATAGATCTTTGCAATATCTTTAATTAGCAATATTTAAACAGTTCAATGATCGTTTTGCTGAATAAAATAACATAAACTAAACTATCATCTATTAAAAAGTTTAAAGTTCAACGTAAATTATTTTAAAATTAATTTCTCAAAATGGCAGTCGCCGCCTTTCACTTCAGTAGGGCGTACACTAAATTTTTTTTAATAAATTATCTTAATAGGGACATATAAGAAAATATATTTATTTTAGTGAGAATATATATTCTTTCAGTAGAGGTTTAAGTATAAAATTTTAAAATTTTTAAAAATAATATTTTTTTCAAAAAAATTTAAATAAATAGGGACATATAAGAAAATATATTTATTTTAGTGAGAATATATATTCTTCCAGTAGAGGTTTAAGTATAAAATTTTAAAATTTTTAAAAATAATATTTTTTTCAAAAAAATTTAAATAGGGACGGTAGCTCCCACTGAACTGTACTTAAATCCGTCACCGGTGGTCGGACGGACTATTTTTCGGATCCAGTGCTTTTAAATTTTTGATATGTTATGACGGCAACGTCCAATAAAAAATACTGCTGATCTTCGTTTTGGACATACGGGTATTTTCGTCACTAAAAATTAGAGAGGAAATTCTATAACTTTTTAATTTCTCCGGGTCTAAATGTAAAACACTTCTATAAAGTAGCTGTCTCCGTAATTTAGGAAAAATAGAGGGGGAGTTTTACAGCCTTCTTTTCCGTTATTACTGAGAGGAGAGGTTCACAGTTCACTTCATCTTACCCATTTGCCCATTAACAGCAAACTGAGGGCTGAGGCCTCTGCATTCTGGTACTCTGCTTCTCTCTCTCTCTCTCTCTCTCTCTCTCTTAGACATTTTTCGCAATCTCACGTCGGGCAATTATTGAATTCATAAAAGAAAAAACAATCTTTTTCATGTATCTTGTTCTTGCTATTTGTTCTCCCAATTCATTGTTTTAGTTGTTTCTTGGAATGAAGTTTGATTTTTTTTTTCTCTTTCATATGTAATAATACTAAAAAATTAAATGCTTTTTTTGGGTTGAATAGGTAGTGGACCTCAATGGGTCCTTTGACGCTCGCCGTCGACGGGAAAAGCTCTGCCGTGGCATATACCGGTAACCCCATTTCTTCAATTTCTGACCCTTTTAATTATATATATATATATATATATACGTATGTATGTATATATTTGCGTTTGGATTTTTTATATGGTGTGACATATGGTAGCATTATCACTATTTGACTTAAAATAATGCTTAGTCAAGTATTCTCTTTTGGGGAGTGGAGAAAAATGTAGAAATCCTCTAACATGAAACCATTTTGTAGTTATTATTATTATTTTTTATTTTTTTTAGAATATATTTTTTCCATTGTTCTTTCTTGAAGCTTAATTGGATAAGTTTGAATATTAGTATTGGCCAGTTCATATGAGCAACTTGACTCAGACATCACAGGATAATTTTGCATTCTTATGTTTTGGCCTTTGACTTCAAGGCCCCATTTGTTTTCCTTGTTCGAGTGAAGAACTTGAGTTAAAAGGTGAATTCGTTACAGGACAAAGTTGAATTTGAGTTTTTGTGAGAGAAAAAACACTGGACCAAAAATTTGAGTTGTAAAGTTGGCCTAAACCTCTTTGTGCATTTGGGGGGTACCAAATATTGGTTTAAACTTTATGGCTGGCATTGTTCCCATTCTAAGATCAATGGTGCATGCTAGATAACCCCTTTAAGGAACACATCGTAGTATTACCTGTATTGAGCTGTAGGCCGACTTAAGAAATTTTATCTTTCTAACTTTGTTGCGCCCCATCATTGATGAAGCTCTTTGACGTGTCAAAGATAGAACAATAGGCTGTAACTTCCGTGAGAAAATTTCTTCCCAAAACATTTGCAACAATCAGTTTTCCTGTTCTCTCACAAAATTCACATGGCATGGTAGAAAACATTTTCCTCAATTCGGTTCAAGTCATCAAGAGCAACATTTTTTGCTTTGCAGTTTAGCACGTGTTTCATAAGAATGAACAAAAAAAAAAAAAAAAAAACCAATCATACGAACAAACTGGTCATTTTTACTGTTGATGTGGTTTTGCAGATGCAGGACCCAAGAAAGCACAAAACTTGTCATTTGAAACAAAGAAGCCCTTTGCGGCTATCAGCACGGAAGCAGAAAAGCCCTTTGACTTTTTCCGTACTTTATTTGGTAGGTCAAAATTTTCTTGCTGAACATCCCATGCAGAATATAACTTGGTGCTCAAAATCTTCATTAAGCGTTAATTTAAACTACAGTTCTTTAAGGTGATGTGATTATGAGAGTGTATGACGGGATTGATTTTATATTGTCTAGTTACAATGGCCTCGTTCATTTCGCCGATTCGAGTTTTCAGTTTTAGATTTCTACAGTAAAAAGCTCTCAGAAAATGTCGCATCAATTTTTTATGCTACAGTGAAAAGCTCTCAAAAAATGTCACATCTCAACTCGAATTGAAAACTCGAATCCGTGAAGTGAACGGGACCAATATGTATAAAGTGGTAGAATTTCTGTAAACCTGGAAAATGATATATTAAAAGACAATATTCTTTGTCAATTCAATTTCTTGGTTCAATGGAGGATTATTGATCAATGTCAATGAATGCACATTCATGTTTTTATGCCAAAAAGAATAAGTTGCACATTCATGTTTATTTTGCCAAAAAGAATAAGGCAAATTAGTTCTAATCAAGCTATATTAACTACCCCAACCCCCCTGCAGATTCAAATTGCAGTATTTTTCTGGTATCCTGCTTCATTGAAACTGCAGAGTTAAGGAAGATATTTTTTGGTGATTGGAAAGCTTAGCTAGTCTTAGAAAAAATAATTGAGTTTGTAAATACCAGCAACTGCACAAGTCATTTAATTTACTTGTCTGCTTGAGCTCTAGTGACTGCTTTCTTAAGTTATGTGAAGTCGATTTAGGAAATAGTGCCACTGCTACATGGACGAAACGACTTTTTAATTAAACCCACTCAAAATTGTAAAAGGTGATCGACATAGAAAAAAACATGGATGTATAGCAAATTCATATTTCTTGCAAAAAAAAAAAAAAAAAAAAAAGAGAGAAAAAAGAGAAAGCAATAGAAGAAATATCTATTTTCCCTTTTTTTTTTCACTTTTTTCATTGATGAAAAATCATTGAGGGGCAATCAAAGGGAAGGATCTTGGTTTGATTTTTACGGCTCTTCCATGAGCGGAATCTTTTGAAAGGCCTCTTCCTTTTTGACTTATTTGATAGAGAGGATGGGGAAGCATGACTTCTGTTTTTCATGCTGCCTATTTTCTTTTAGTACGTCTTATCATATTGATCTGCTCGTTCTTGACTTGTCTGGTGGATTTTTGCAGAGGGGATGATAGCAGGAGGTACCGCTGGTGTTGTCGTTGAAACAGCTTTATACCCCATTGATACTATAAAAACACGGCTGCAGGCAGGTTAAATATGAATTTTATTGTAACCAAGTTTCAAAAGTAGGCTCAGTTTGTATGTGGTAACTGACCTCCTAACGTCAAATTCTGTGTTTTTTTGTCTGCACATCTTCTTTTTGACTTTATCCGCGTCTTTTTTGCAAGACAACTTGTATCCCCCTTCCTCCTTTGTCATGTCATTTTGTTTGTAAAGAATTATACACTATTCACTTCCCATTCCATTTTTTTAAGATTAGAACTGAATACTTCACCGTCTAGTCTTCTCATAACTACCGTTCTCGATCCCCTTCTTCCATGGCCCTGCAAGCTTTTTGTTCTTTCCTAATTTTCCTCATCTGCATGTGAACTATTCTCATAGGAATCCCAAAGTGGCATATCCAGTACTTTAGCTTTTCAATTTTTTTAAAAAAACTATTCTCTGTCTCCACAGATTTCTGATACGAATGACAATGATTTATGTAATTATATGTGTTACAGGCTGCTCATGGTGGAGGGAAAATAGTTTTGAAGGGCCTTTATTCTGGATTGGCCGGTAACCTTGCTGGTGTCCTACCGTAAGTACCTCCTTTGAATTTATGCACTTAGACACGACGCCTAAACATTGTATGTGTTTTTGTCCATTCTATCCCAGTTGTTTGATAACGATTACTGATATGTATTTTTGTATTCCTTTTCTCTTTGTAAAAAATTTGTTTTGTATATAAGAAGATTTAATTTCCATATACAGGGCCTCTGCAGTTTTTGTAGGCGTATATGAACCTACAAAGCAGAAACTATTGAGAATGTTTCCTGAAAATCTTACTGCTGTAGCTCACTTGGTAAGAGAATTATGCTCATTCCTTGACTATAGCACTGTGCATTATTGATATGCTGCAGAAAAGTTTAGTGATACCTAACGAAATGATAGGTTTCTTATGTTGGAAGATAACTTCAAAATAATCTGTAGCCGTATGAGTTATTCTCAGCAAAACCTGGTGCTCTAAGAAATTTCCGCATGCATGGCAAAAAAAAAAAAAAGAGTCACAAATTGTAACTGTAGAATTGTTTCTATATTATTGAAATAATCAGAGTCACATCGGTTATATATAGTACAGGGTTGCCATAAAGTTAAACCAGTAAAATAGGAAACTACCCTATCAATCAGGAGACAAATCCTAATCATATCAAATCAGAAAATATATACAGCTAACTAATCCCTAGAAATCAGGGATTATATTTTACACTATCCTACACGGTTTTACTAGGATAACCTTATCTTTCTACACTCCCCCTCAAGCTGATGAATAGATATCTTCTATTCCAAACTTGCTGACAATATTTTGAAAAGCCGTGCTTGGGAGTCCCTTTGTAAGTACATCTGCTAGTTGGTCTTTGGTTGAGATGAACGGAGTACAAATTAGACCACTATCGAGTTTCTCCTTTATAAAGTGTCTGTCCACCTCAATGTGCTTCGTTCGATCATGTTGCACTGGATTGTGGGCAATACTTATAGCTAACTTATTATCATAGTATAGTCTCATCGGACCTTCCCATTCAACTCGTACATCATCTAGAATTATTTTAAGCCATAGTAACTCACATATCCCAAGTGCCATTGACCTGAATTCCGATTCTGCACTCGATCTTGCCACCACACTCTGTTTCTTACTCCTCCAAGTCACAAGATTACCCTCTAGGAAGGTGCAATATCCTGATGTTGATTTTCTGTCAACTAGAGAGCCTATATAATCCGCGTCAGTGTAAGCTTCTAGTGTCATACTTCGTCCTTTCTTGAATAAAATCCCTCTTCCAGGAGTGCCTTTCAAGTACTGTAGAATTCTATACACAGCATTGAGGTGCATCTCCTTCGGATTGTGCATAAATTGACTAACAACACTCACTGCAAAAGCAATATCTGGTCTTGTGTGGGCCAAGTAAATCAGTCTTCCTACAAGCCTTTGATAGGAATTTTTGTCCACTGCCGTGTCCTCTGGAGCATCACATAACCTGTGGTTGAACTCGATCGGTGTATCAACTGGTTTACGTCCCAGCTTCCTTTAACAAGTCCAACACATATTTTTGCTACGATATGAAGATTCCCTTCTTTGAGTGTGTCACTTCAATACCTAGGAAGTATTTTAGCTTCCCAAGCTCTTTGATGTCAAATTCTCTCTCCAAGCACCTTTATAAACTTTGTATTCCTTCTTCATCATTGTCCGTGACTATACTAAGGAACGCTCTATAACTCTGGGACAAGTTCTCATTGGATAGGAACAGGTATAACGGATGTTTTGTGCAAGTTCTGGTTCCTTTTCTAAGAGAAATCGGCAGGTCATAATCATTTGGCTCAGCTATTTCATTGGTGGATTCGGTAGGATTGGCTGGTCGAGTAATGGTCTCAGTAGGAGTGGGATTTACCTCAGATGTTTGAACAATAGCTCGAACAGGTGACTGAACATGCGTAGGTTGAGAGATTGGTGCTCGCCTCCTTGAATAAATCTGTAATGGCCGAATGGATTCTTGATTTTCCTTTCCTTTTATCATTCCATTTGACTTAGGTGTACCAGGTTTGGACAGATATTGAGCAGATGCAGATTCAACATTTGAAGGCTCAACATTAGGTGTAGAAGACTTGGGTTGACCATTTGTAGGTAGTTTGATGTTGGGTGTAGAAGACTCGGGCTCAGAAGACTCGGGTTGACAAGGACGACTAAGGAGAAACAAATCTTTTTCCCTATCTTCACTTAACTTCTCCCCCTGAAGATAGGAATTAGAGAAATATGACTCTGTTTCGCCAAAAGTGACATCGGCGGACAGGAGGAATTTTCTTGTAGGCTGATGGAAACATTTGTACCCCTTTTGTGTGGAGGAATAACCAATAAAAATACACTTGATAGCACGTGGATCGAGTTTTCCTCTGTTTTGGGAATGAACATGAACAAATGAGACACTTCCAAATATTATAGGAGTGAGATTGTTTGAAGCGCTGAAATTCGGGAAAAATTTAGTGAGAGATTCCATAGGACTTTTGAAATCAAGAACTTTTGTAGGCAGTCGATTGATAAGATGGGCAGCAGTTAAAACGGCTTCTCCCCAATATTGTTTTGGGACATTTTTATGGAATAAAGATGCTCTAGTGATAGCAAGAAGATGACCGTTCTTTCATTCGGCCACCTTGTTTTGTTGGGGTGTGCTAACACAAGAGGATTCATGGATGATTCCCTGTTTTTGAAAGAAAGTGGAGAGAAACTGATTAAAAAAGTCATTTGCATTATCGGATCAAAAACTTGTTGCCTAAATTTGTGAATCTAGAATCTCGCAAGTGTACGAATCAACAAGTAGTAAAATGATGAATGATCAAGTATTGTCCCACAAGGATTGAAGGTTTTTGAAATCAAATTGCTAAATTAATTCTATTCAAGTTTTTGGAAGAAAAATAAAGTTGATTTTAAGATGTTAAAAACTAAGAATAAACTGGATATAAGAAAATAAACAAACAAAGATAATTCTAATTAACAACAAAATGTGCAAATAAATTGGCCAATGTCACTGTTCGTGGCTCACAATTGCTAAACCGTCTCTTATCAAGCTGCGCGTTGCTGCAGCAACGGACGGCAATGAAAACTTCCTTGTTAACCATATTTATTAAAGCAGGGATTTTCCAATCTGTCTACCGATCTTAAAACTAAATCCCACAAATCCCTTAGCAAATTTAGACTCTAAAATCAGAGAATGAAGCTCTAAATCAGATGGTTATGCAAGACACAATATATTCCTATATCATGTAAATCAAAAATCTAAAAACAAGATCTAAGAACTTGCACTATTCAAGCTATGTCCACTTAACGAAATCTTTTCAGATTTAATCAAAGCTATGCTCCGCTCTTATGATTTCCCAATCACAATAAGTCACAAAATTAAGCTCACTTGAATAAACAAGAAAATAATACTCAGATCCATTCAACATCAACTAACATATCAATATTCAACAACTCAACAATCTCAGCCAACAAATCATAATCTCATAAAGTTATTCATGGATTCAAATTCAGATCTAAAGAGAAAACATAAAATGTTCATCAACAAGGTTAAACAGAGTTACTGAGGTTAAGAAAGAACTAAGGTAACAAGAAGAGAATTAGAATCCCCCTTTTCCAAGGCTTCTTCTAAGCACTTCCTGCATCAACAATGGATCTTCCTTCATGTTCAATACTCCGTGACGTTTCCTTCCTCTTCTTTCCAGTACTGGTGCTGGTACTTGATCAGAAAATGGAGATGGGTTCCTTTTCCAAGTATAGCCGCCTCTTCGTTGCAAAATATGATCAAGGACACCTCCTCTCTTCTCAGCTGCAGGTACTTATTGTACCCTAATTCCACGTGGCAGCATCTGGGAAGGCCTCCAATTAGTGCTCAATCATCACCCTTCACGGACATAAGACAGCCCATTCACCAGCTAAATCCCAGCTGTCAGCAAAGCACAAGTCTAGCCCAGCTCGTGTTGCTGCAGCAACGCAGAGCAATGCTGATCAGGTTTTTTCTACACTCCAACATACGAGATGTTGCTTAAACCTCCCAAACGACCACCTTTCTTTAAGCTGAGATTATCCACAAATTGCACCCAAATTAGTTATTTTTAACGCCAATCATGAGAGAGAATTTATTAAACACAATTAACTAAAAACTACTAACAAGACAAAAAATAGAAGAGAATACTAATAATAATTACCCTCTAGGTAATAATTTAAGTCTAGGAAATGCTCAATTAACTCTATTTTCATAGAGTTATCAGCTCCCATAAAGTTAAACTAGTAAAATAGGAAACTACCCTATCAATCAGGAGACAAATCCTAATCATATCAAATCAGAAAATATATACAGCTAACTAATCCATAGAAATCAGGGATTATATTTTACACAATCCTACACGGTTTTACTAGGATAACCGTATCTTTCCACAGAGTGTAATTTTATATTGTGTTTACTCACAATTATTCCCTTTTTTTTATATCACCCAACTATCAAATAATGTTTGGGAACAAATTGGACAATGATGATAAACTTTGCGAATTGAAGGCATCTACCTTAGTGCTTTAATGAAAATAAAACAAATGTGTTTCTTAAGAAAGGGGGAGGCAGGGTTGGGGGAACAAAAGAACAACAAAATTATGTGTACGGTAGGGTGAAAGAAAAGAGCTTGACATGCACTCTATGGAGCTGAACATAGTATATGAGAGAGACCGAGAGGATAAAGTACACTAAACAATTATATGCGTTGTAATTAAAGAGTGCGTGATAGTTCATTGAGTGCCCTTCGTCAAAAGTGAATGGGGCTAACTGATCTGCCCATAGTATAGGGGTATAATCTTCAGAGAGAGAGAGAGAGAGGTATTTGAACAATATATTTATAAGATTATCTAGCTACCGTCAGAGTAGCTAGATAATCCAGAAGCTTTGCAACCGTTCCTTGGTAATACTCTTAAGAGAGGCTATATAATATCTATCATATAAATTGGCTATTTGATTATGTATTAATATTAGATTTCAGATTAAGAACCTTATGTCTGTAATGAAATATGCTAAATGTGGTGATGTAAATGAGTGATGCAAGATGGACACTCTTTTCTGTTCTCCCGTAATGTAAGATCTATGTTGACAGGTTGACACATTACTGTGGGTATTAGATGAACTGAAAAATCTAAGATTCTATACGAATTATTATATTTGCATAAGGAACACATTCCAGAAAAACTTAACAGATTTACCACTAACCCCGGTTTTGAGTCGTGACAAATTAAAGGGTATCAGAGCATAGGTTTCAAAAATCAAAATTGTGCCACCCGTTAAACTAGATTAATTTGCTTATGAAATATCATACATGCTCATTTCGCTAACCCTTTTAGCATGTTCAATACAGATTGTTAGAATGCTTCCTAGAAGGGCAAGAAGGAGGAATCTTCCACCTGAAGATAATGCTAATGATGCCCCTCCCCCTCCACCAGCCGAAAATGTACCGAACCCATTGATGGTATGTTTGAGGCATTTAGAGGAATGCCTAAGTTCAGTGATATTACTCCAGAAGCTAGGAGGGTTGTTGGCTTTCGGCCCGCAAGCGGCTGACAGTTGGTTGAATGAAATGAAGAGGAAATTTCGAACTAATGAGGTTCCTATCGAATTTCGAGTCACTTTTGCTAGTAACTACCTTTATGGTGCAGCTGAGCATCAGTGGACAGTCATTGAACAAACCCATGATGTAGAGAACATGACATTGGAGGAATTTGAAAATCTTTTTCGACAGAATTATGTAAATGAGCAACATAGGGTTGAGATGATGAGACAACTCACTTAATTGAGTCAGGGGAGCATGACAATAGATGAATATTATTGACTATTTGCTGGACTAGCGCAATATGTTTATGAGCCTGCAACTGATTCTATCCTTATAATTGTCCAATTCAAGAACGGTTTGAGACCTGACATCAAAGAGAACGTTGCAACAGTTCGAAACAGTTCTTTAGTGGATGTAGTGGCTGCTCCTTAAAGTGCGGAGACTGTTGTTATGCCGAATCAAACTAGGAGGAACAGACAAAAGGGTGGGGGAAATGATAGAAAGATGACGAGAAGGAACCAAAATCAATGGCAAACATGTCATGTTCCTTCTCGTCATCTTTCTATCATTTCCCCCACCCCTTTGTCTGTTCCTCCAAGCTTGATTCTCCATAACAATTGTCTCCGCACTCTGAGCAACAGCCACTACATCCACTAAAGAAATGTTCCGAACCGTTGCAACGTTCTCTTTGATGTCAGGTCTCAAGCCGTTCTTGAATTGGACAATTCTAAGGATAGGATCAGCTGCAGAGGCTCATAAGCATACTGCGCTAGTCCAACAAATTGTCAGTAATATTCATATGCTATAATGCTCCCCTGACTCAATTAAGTGAGTTGTCTCATCATCTCAACCCTGTTGCGCATTTACATATTTCTGTCGAAAAAGATTTTCAAATTCCTCCAATGTCATGTTCTCTACATCATGGGTTTGTTCAGTGACTGTCCACCAATGCTCAGCTGCACCATAAAGATAGTTACTAGTAAAAGTGGCTCAAAATTCCATAGGAACCCCATTAGTTTGAAATTTCCTCTTCATCTCATTCAACCAACTGTCAACCGAAAGCTAGTAGCCCTCCTAGCTTCTGGAGTAATATCACCGAACCCAGGCATTCCTCTAAATGCCTCAAACATAGCCATCAATGGGTTTGGTACATTTTTGGGTGGTGGAGGGGGAGGGGCATCATTAGCATCATCGTCAGGTGGAGGATTCCTCCTTCTTGCCCTTCCAGGAGGCATTCTAACAATCTGTATTGAACATGCTAAAAGGGTTAGCGAAATGAACATGTATGATATTTCATAAGCAAATTAATCTAGTTTAACAGGTGGCACAATTTCGAGTTTTGAAACCTATGCCCTTTACCATGTGTCCCAAAACCGATGTCAGTAGTAAATCTGTTAAGTTTTTCTGGAATGTGGTTCCTTATGCAAATATAATAATTCGAAACAGAATCTTAGATTTTTCAATTCATCTTATACCATGTGTCCACTTGTCAACATAAATCTTACATTACGGGAAAATAGAAAAGAGTGTCCATCTTGCATCACTCATTTACATCACCACATTTAGCATATTTCATTACAGATATAAGGGGTTGTTCTTTTACAACAAAACTCAGAAAAAGTTTAAACTCAAGTTACAACTTTATTCAAGTTCACGTTCTTGTAAGTTTCAACTTTATTCAAGTTACAACTTTAAACTCAAGTTATAACTAAAATTCAACTCAAAAACTACACTCCAAAAGAACAACCCCTAAGGTTCTCAATCTGAAATCTAATATTAATACATAATCAGATAGCCAATTTATATGATAGATATTCTATGGCCTTTCTTAAGAGTAGGAACGGTTGCAAAGCTTTTGGATTATCTAGCTACTCTAACGGTCTAGCTCGCACTGAACACCACCTAAAAGGGAAGAGGGGTGAGCAGAAGCCCAGTAGGAAACCGACTACTCAGTTTAAAACCAACAAAATAGAAATAATTTAAAGAGGCAATTAATTAAGAAAATATTCTTGTGCATTTGCTTACAGGGAAAATTCATTAAAAAAAAATAGGCAAGACAATAAAAATAATAGAAAATGCATCAAAACCAAATCCCTAAATTATTCAGTTAAATTATCAAATAACACCTGCACTGATACATGTTAGTACACTCCTACTTGTTAGTAATGGAGGAGAAACAAAAAGAAGAGGGAGTACGTTGTGCCCCAAATGAGCACCCTGTGAAAGAGTCCAAGTACCAATTTTTGGTACCCGTTAAGTAGTCCTTGAGGTGTAAGGTCTAGGTTGTAATCTTGAACGAAAAGCTTACTTGATTGTTAGTATAATGCAGACTGCAGGTGCTGTAGGTGGCTTAGCTGCTTCTCTTATTCGTGTTCCAACAGAGGTATCTAATCTTGTTTTGCATTTCCATGTTGTAGGAAAGAAACTAAGAAATTGTTTTCTTGACCAACTCTCCCTTCGACATAACTCAGGTCGTTAAGCAAAGGATGCAAACTGGGCAATTTTCTTCAGCCCCTGATGCTGTCCGCCTCATTGCTTCAAGGGAGGGTTTTAAAGGACTCTATGCAGTACGTCGTTCCCTTCCCCAACCTTTATGACAGTCCAAGTTCCCTTGTTTAGACAGAATTAACGATCTTTGTACCTCTTCTTTTTTAATTGTTATTTTCCTACACGCGCGCGCACACACATATGTATGTATATATGCATAGGTGGGAAATTTCAAGTTTATGCTGTTTGCACACTTTCGTTGCGTTTTGAAACTCATGTTATGTTTGTAAATGTTCCTACCTTTCTGGGATTGTAGGGATATGGATCCTTTTTACTGAGAGATTTGCCATTTGATGCAATTCAATTTTGCATATACGAGCAGCTTCGGCTTCGTTATAAAGTGGCGGTAAGCTCCTCATCATGCATCATATGATGCTTATAGGTGTTTAGTGGTGTATGATGGACATCTTGGTGAAGCTTATATCTTTGACAGCATTTTCCATTCTTTCCAACGTGCTATGTCAATACAAAAAAACTAACGACCAATAGGTTTTGTAGTATAAATTGTTTGAATATTTAAAAATTTCTTTGTACGGAAACGTAAAAGATGTATGCCAGTGTAGTATTGAAGACACCCATACTTATTTAAATAATGATATTGGAGTACTGAACCAAAAAAAACATTCTTATGTGATTGACTGGCATAAAACCCTCCAGCTGTAACTTATTACTGTTTCTATACGCGTTTAATTTGTATCTGCATATTTTGTTGCTCCGTATTTCACTATCAATGAATTCGACCTGTTTTAACTATTGCCAGGCAAAGAGAGACCTGAATGATCCTGAGAATGCTATAATTGGTGCTTTTGCTGGTAAGATGACTTTAAACAATCGACAGAAGAAGCTAGCTTTAGTTACTTGCTGCATCTGTGTCTTTTCTATTTTGATGTTCCTTAGTTTTCGCAGTATTGTGTTTTTATAACGATACTGTGAGTCTGGTTATGACAGAGTAAAGAGATGGGAGTACACAGAAAAAGTTGAACATGAATTACGTAAATCATTCTCTACAGTCTTTTTTGGGGGGGGCTGCTAATGCGTATATAACCGTTTATCTCATTCTTATTGTTTTAGTGTTTCTATGAGAGTTTTCACCTGTTGGATATCGAACTTTCACAGGTGCACTAACTGGAGCTATAACCACTCCCCTTGATGTGATTAAAACTAGGCTGATGGTTCAGGTAAGCCAATCTGTTTCCTGCCATTTTCCCCTAGCAACTCGGAAGTTTTTATTTATTTCTAGATATACAACTAACTAGACATAACTTTTTCTGCATGCAAACAAGTAACATTTGTCAGGTATCAAGTCATGATATGGTTGTTTTACTGAAAAAAAAAAAGTCACTATATGGTTGTTTGTTCATTTTAAGGGATCTGCGAACCAGTACAAAGGAATCTTTGATTGTGTTCAAACTATCGTGAGGGAAGAAGGACCACCTGCTCTTTTGAAGGTATACGCGAGCTCCCTTGCTTTCCTTTTCTAAATTTTAAATTATGCGAGGCCCATAGTCGATAAATGGTTTCGATATGCCAAAAATAGCGTGTTAGTATCAAAGTAGGTGTTTTGCAAACCATATTGTTGTGTCATGATATGTAAAAGTGCATAGAGATTCACGTGACCGTAAAATCTGAAAAGGATAAGTAATTTATGTTGGATCCTTAAGAGATCTTGCAAATGTCACGGACGCGAACAAAACCACGGCGCTAAGCTTGAGATGTTATACCTTCTTGTGTTAACAATTTTCTGCAGGGAATTGGGCCAAGAGTGCTGTGGATTGGCATTGGCGGTTCGATCTTCTTCGGCGTTCTCGAGAGCACCAAGCGGTTACTTGCTCAGAGACGGCCTATTCCTCAACAAGACTCGAAGAAGGATTAACATAGAGATTAACGAAAGAGGCTTACATTTAGAAACTAGGTATTTCTTTCCATTTGTTTCCTTCATTAGTTGTCCAAAAATTTTGGGAACATAGATGATTTCTAGCTATGCTTCACAGTGCTCGCCCTTGTTTGCGTTAATGCTATTAGCTTTGCCTGCAAAAGGAACTTCATAATGACTGAAAAGCACATTAAAAAAAAAGCATATAAAATTGCCTCATACAGATTCGACGGTTCAAAATAAAATCTTAGTAGTAGTGATATTTTTTTTTTTTTACGGGACTTTCTCTAGTAGGCACTAGAAAAATAAACTACCTAAAGATATTATTGATTTCTCTGGTCGGTGCCGGAAAAATAAACTATCGAAAAAAATTATATTTTCAGCTATTAGATTTGTATTAGAAATTATTATTTTGCATATGTTTTTTTTAATATGATGTGATTTTAATAAGATTTAATGGTTAGAAACTGGTCTTATCAGTAGAAAAACCCTACCAAAAGACTTTTTTCACACTACCGTAAAAATCCCACCAAAAGAAATGTTTTGAAAGTTAAAAGTGATTTGTTTCTCAAAATACTTCACAAAAGAACTATAGACGTGCTGCCAGTATTTTCTGTGGTCTATGAGCTATACGACTATTTTCAAAAGAAAAAATGCCACTATTCATTTTTTTTTTCGCAGCAGTAGAGAAAATTACAACCAGTAGTTATATTAGTTGAAGAAAAAATTATTAAATTTATTTTTAGAGTGTATAAATTTAGACTTTTACTCCTCACATTTAATTAATATAATTATTTAATTAAAAATGTTATTAATTAAAAGTAAAATTTATACTCATCCATTTTAAAGAATATTTGTCTCATTTTCCTTAGTTTAAACGAGACATGATTATCCCTTTCCAAAGGTCATCAATATTCCCTCTTCAGTTGAGTTGAAGGAAGGTTGGCCCGGCCCTGTCTGAAAGCATATCGGCCTGGACCAGCTCGAAATTTTATACGAGGAATTTGTAAAAAATAAAAATAAATAATAAATAAAAAGGAAAAGACTAATTGGGCTTGGTTGGATTGGGCCTTGGCCTAATTGGCACCTTGATCTTAGACAAACCGTCTGTGGTCAGTGATTCACTAGAAAAAAAAAAAAAATATATATATAGATTGTATGGCGTTAAGTTTGTGGTGGTAGGATTGAAACCGATCATTCTTGAGTAAAACTAGGTCTTTTTTTTTTATTTTAGTAGTAGATCTTGAAATTTTTTTATTTTTTTTTATTTTTTATTTTTTTACAAAAAGAAAAGGGACAAAATGATACTAATAAGGGAACTTTTCGGTTCCCGACATCATATCAGAAATTTTAATAACTTCTATATTTTATGTCGAAATTTCTGAACTTCAAACATTGAAATTATATAAGTTATGACAGACTTGTTAATTCCTAAAAAAAAAATATGATAACTTCTATATTTTATGTTGAAATTTCTAAATTTTAAATACCGTGAAAGACACCATAAAAGACTACTAATAATCTTGAAAATTGGCATGTATATAGCTATATATATATATATATATATCAATCAATCATTCCAAGCCTTATATGAGTCCTAGGTTTGGGTCCAGTACTTAATTATATAGCCACGGAGGTTCACTTGATAAGATAGCTCATAATTTGAAGGTTTTTTTTTTTTTTTTTTTTTTTTTTTTTGTGGTTGGGGTGGGGGTATGTTTCAAAGTTGATATTGGCATGTATGAACAAGTGGTACATATTTATTGTCACATATAGCTGAAAATACCAAGAAGATTGACAAATTATTACATGAAGATTACCTTTATCACCATAAGTTTGCTGCTCAAGTAAGCAATTTTCATGCTCTTTGCATAAATTTCTGTCATTAACTCTAGCCAATGTCGGATATCCCATCAGGGAATGAATCTAAGAACACTTTAATTATTCTTTTTTGTTCGTTTAAATTGGGAGTGAGGGATTTGAATATCAGTCCTTATTATTAGAGACAGGTGTTAAAATCTCCACTATAGTGTAATTTGAAAGTTTAATATAATTGATGTCCCCTTAAAAAAGTTTGTAGCTTCCTCCACGTGTCACACTATTTTAACGATGCCTTTCCCTTAATTTGATATTTGATATTTTACAAAAAAAAAAAAAAAAGCTTTTAGACTTGTTCACTTTATCAATTTAAGTTTTGTTACAGTTAAAAGCACTCATAAAAAGTCATATTTAATTTTTTTATTTACAGTAAAAAATTCTCACATAAAATTACATCTCAATTAAAATTTGTAAACTGAATGAGCCCTTAGAGTACTCTTTGACATTTATCCTTTAAAAGGTACTCTCTTAAGACTGTTTAGTTCGTTGATTCGAATTTTCAATTTGAATTGAGATGTGATTTTATATGAAAACTTTTTACTGTAATAAAAAATTAAATATAATTATATTTAAGAGTTTTTTATTATAATAAAACTTAAATTTTAAATTCAAATCGATGAAAATTCTAGACTTAGGAGACGTTTAGTTTATAGATTAAAATCATAAGATTAGAACTATTTTCAATTTATGTGTATTTTTTATAAAAAAAATACTGTAATAAATTATAAACTATAATTCAAATTAAAAAATGAATTCCTCAACTAAACAACCACTTAATTGACATGTCAAACATTTTCGGATTGATAGCAATTGGAAAAGAATTCGTGAAGCAAAATTCTTTTTTTATCCCTTCTGAAAAAGGCATAAACAGAAAAAAGTTTATGTTTTGACATGTCAACCAAGCATGGAATAGTGTTGAGAGTCCGTACAACATTAAGAAAATTTGACCAGTTGGAGCCATATATTATTATTCCCTGCAATGTACTCTGCCAAACCTGCATCTGGGGCCTCATGAAAAAAAAAAAAAAAAAAAAAAAAGGAAGGGAACGTAAATAGTGAAGGGCATTTCTTTTGATAGACACTCCTACGAATAAACTATGGATAACACTCGTTTTTGCGATTAAAGATTCGTTTAGTTCGTTAGTTTAAATTAAAATGTAATTTTATATGAGAATTTTTTATTATAATAAAAAAATTAAATGTGATTATTTTTAAAAACTTTTTATTATAATAAAATTTAAATTTTGATCTCAAATCAGTGAAATGTGTATAAGAAACTGTTTGTTTTGTTCATTTTTTCTATACTAATGTGATTTTAATTATATTAACTGTTGGAGAGACTTTATTTTCAGTGAGAATGTCTGATACATTAATAACTAATTCTTTTCCTTCCAAATATTTTAGAAATTACGACACACAGGATTTACAAAGTAAACCTCGAGTATGACAAGACTTTTATGCCTAGAAATATAATTATCCACGTGTACGTATATATACTGATGGTATACGAATAATTTCACACACACTATATATATATAATATTTGAATTCCATCTAATTCGCCGTAAGAACAGGAAAGAGAAAATAATAAGAAAGAAAAGGGAGAATTCTTATAATTAAGGCACTTTTGGGGTAAATAATGCTTATAATTGTTCACAAGATGCTCTAATTGCATGTATGTATATTAATTAAGAAAGAGGAAAAAAAAAAAAAAAAGGGCTTACAATTACGGTGGACGTGTAAAATGAAGAGAAACTAAAAAAAGACAGTTGAGAGTACAAACGTAGTACTTACTATACATCTATCATCTCAAGGGGAACAGAGTGGAATATTTAGGATATTGCCCGACAAGAAAATAGTGCCGTAAGGAATTTACCATTGAATTAATTGCACGCCCTCGTCCTAGAAACTACTTTTGGCCCGTTTGGTAAACGGATGATTTTGATTTTTATGATTTGAAATGAAAAGCTAGTTCAAAACATGTGATCGTTTAGTTCATAAATTTAAAATTATTTTTTATTTATGTGTATTTTTTATAAAAAAAAATATGTAACGAACCATGAATTATGATTCGAACAAGGGTACAAATCTCCCAACCAAACAACCCAAGACTTTGTTTGGTATTATAGTTTAAATTAAGGTGATTTTAGTTTTAATTTTAAAACCAGAATCACAATTCATGATTTTATGTATAAATCAAATCTTGGTTCTAAAAGAACCACAAAAAAATCAAAGGAGAGGTGGTTTTAGATACAGAGGTGATTATGGTTTAAAAAATCATATCACGGTTCAAATTTTGAACCAAAACCATCCAAACTAAACACTGATTTTGTTGAGTCAAATCAGAACCACTTTTTACTTTTTATAAACAAACACTGGTTTAAACGAGAATTAAAATTTCAATTCTAAAACCCTCATACCAAACGTCTCCTAAGAATCATATCTGAATTTATACTAATAAATATGTTGAGATCGAATATATAATGCTATTTTTGTACACTTAAGAAATTACATATATTATTTTTCAACAAGACTCTACTTGTTCATGTATGAAATTAAAAAAAAAAATAATAATCCGACAATTTCTTGAACTGGTTTTAGTTTGCTTAATTTTTGTCTATTTCGCAGTTTTACTTCCAATTGGAAAGCTAATTATTAAGGCCATCAATCTTAAGATGAAAAACTTTCTATATCTCTAGAAGCAGCTCCAGTACTGCCTTATATTAGGCAATAATTAAAGAAGCAAAAAAAAGAAAAAAAAAAGAAAAGAACATGCGAAACAACAATGATGAATCTGTGTGAAATATTCCACGTATATATTCAGCATTTCCAAACATTGATTCAATAACACAAGGTAAACGCTGTATAAATATCAAAGTGCCCATTACTTTTCTTTATATTTATTTTGTCAATTCCTGCTTTTTTATAATATATTATTAAGTACTTAATTACATTATCTAGCCAACTAGGTAAAAAACTATATTATCCTAATATCATAAATTTGCCTCACCATAAAGTTTGTAACATTGAAAAGTAATTATTTAATAACCAAAATTGATGACAAAGAATGATAAGGATCTTTGGTTAGAGTATCCAAAGGGGTTGATCAAGAAAAAGAGAAAATCATTTTGGGTTTGGCTACTTTGGTCACAAAATAATATGCTCTTTGTGTGTATGTGTGTGTCAATGTCAAACCTTATAATAACAAGTATTATTACCTTGTTGGAAAATTTAAACATAAGTAACTTATAATGGCAAACATTGGTAATAATGACAAAGACTTTCATGTCATAATCCCTTTCTCTAGTGTTAGGCCCCAAATCTCATAACCCAAATTATACAAATTTCCC